AATTGATCTAGATATTTTTAATAGCTCTTACTGAAGAAGCCTAAGGGATGTAATTCCTCAATGTACTGACAATTTTACTCCTGGGAAGGGGCATGATGGAATCAATGCATAATGAGATATGTAGTCTAAAGAAATTGGGATTGCATCACATGGGACAGCAGGGAAGGAGACACAAAGCACGCTGGAAATTTTGGAAAGTGCAGGGCAGACAAATGACAGTACGAACTACGTAAAAGGGATTTTTTTAAAGTCAGCTTCGATTGTATTATGAAAAACAACCCCTCTCTGTCAATCTAGTTAACAATGACTTACAAAGCCATCCACAAGTCTGCCCCCGGTTAGATCTCAAACCTTGTCTCAAAGTACCACCTTAACCGTCCCCTCCGCTCTTCAAAACATCTTCTGCTTTCAAGCTCCCTCATCAACTCCTCAATGCATGCCTCCAGGACTTCACTAGAGTCTCTCCCATCCTCTGGAACTCTTTACCCCAACCTGTCCGTCTATCTCCCACTCTGACTGCCTTTAGGCGATCCCTTAAAACTCATCTCTTCAGGGAAGCCTATCCCACCTCAACTTAACCATCACGTTCTCAAACAATTCATCCCCACACAGCTACCGCCTCGTGTATCACTTCTTCCTCCTTTTATATTGTAAGCCGTCACGGGCAGGGCCCTCCTTACCATCTTGTCTTGAATTGTATTGTGAGATTGTAATATCTTCCTTATATTGTAAAGCGTTGCACAAACTGTTGGCGCTATATGAATCCTGTATAATAATAACAACAACAACTCTGGTATGTATTCCGATTACATTGCTTCTGATATAACAGGATAGTGTATGCTGGGACCTTACAACTCCTTTAAAAAGGTAAAAGTCTTCCATGACCCACCGCACACCCCAAGCACCATCTCCCGGTAAGCTTAGCAGAATATATACTTGTTTTTATCATTGGTTTAACAGCTGCTGTCATACTTTTCCCATGAGTGAGCACCTTAATTATATCAGAAACTGCCAAAAATGAGGCCAAGCTGTTATCACGTAACAAAACACAAAAGAGAAAATTGTAACAAAGAAAAAATCGTCCTACTGACCTGCAAACATGCTGTGCGTACCCGGGCTCCATCGGGAGACATCTTTATTGACAAGCTAAGTACCTACAGTGTCAGAATGGTGACTATAAATAATGGTGTGAAGTCAGAAAGCCGGAGAGTGTTTGACACAAATACTTTGTAATGCCGAGCTGACCTATCACCTCACCGTCTCTGCTCACCATTTCCACAACGCCCTTAGCATCAAACCTCACCCATCCACATTGTCAACACCCTGCAAGGTGATTGGCTGTGGTGTCTATGAAAGTGAATTCCAGGCCTGTACTCACTGGGTAAAAAGGGAATTTTCTGCACATGTATCTCATACTTCTAGCCTTTTTCTTCCAGACCTGATTACATCTCTTTTGCCTGAGGGCAAACACACACACAAAAATGCAAACACAGGAACGTCCATAGCTGAGTACATTGCATTTCCATCTACTGTGACAGACATTTGATTAAGTACCTAAATTACTAGAGGCGAACCTTGCTTGTTCTCCGAACTCTGCTTAACGCGCAGCAATTTATGCGACACATCATTAGACTCTATGGGGGCGCTATGGGGGGAATTTATTAAAACTGGAGCAGTTGCCCATTGCAACTAATCAGCTCCTATATTCAGTATGCACAGTTATAGTATTAAAAACTCTTCAATAATTGAATAATAACAAATAAACATTGCCCAGCAAAGTATTTCTTTACATCTCTGTCCAAACACTTAGGCCCCGTTCACACGTAGGCGTTTCGTTGGCAATAAAAAAAAAAAACATTCATTCCTTTGGCCCCGTTCACACCTGAGCGTTTTGTCGTAAGCTGTAAAATGCCTGTCGCTGAAAAAAGTACGAGCTTCTTTTTGGCAGATTACAGCACGTTTTGTCCCCATAGAGGCAGAAGGAAATTCTTGGAAACGTTTTTGCACGCATTTGCCCGTTTACATCAATGTGTCCCATTCGGCCCGCTAAAACATATGACTTAAGTGTGCCTGCGTCTAACCGGCGCAAAAAAATGCAGCAGAAGCGTAGAATCATGCAAAAATGCTGTGGCCTAGGTGTGAATGCAGCCATATAATAATCACGTTTCCAAACAGCTGCTCCAACTCTGCTAGTTCAGCTTCCCTAAACTTCCTCTCTACTAGCTTGGAGATAGGAGGAGCAGAGAGCAAGAGGAGTGGTTTTCCTTGCCATGGCTGTGTGTTTGTGGAGACACACACAGTTTACTAGCACACACAGGGGTGGCTCTATAGGACCCTGCAAGGGAAAGGAGCTACCCTAAAACAGGCAGTCAGGGCCGGAGCTCAGGGGGCCATCTGATTCTGCAGAAAACTAAAACTTTTAAACATCAAGCAGCGTCCATTTTAAGTGCTTTCATCAGCGTTTAAAATAACTTAAAAACCTTTTGACTTTAATATCAGTTAAAGCTTTGAAAATGAAAGATAGATTCTGCTCCAGTCTTAGTAAATTCCTCATATACAAAACCTAACTCCAGGAAAAGAACAACCAGGCCCTACACTGCAAGGGTTAAATGCTGGCTTAGGTTCAAGGTAACTGGGAAAAAACAGCTCTACTTATCTAAGCTTCATCAAGCCAGGTGGCTTTGACAGGGACATTGATGGCTCAAATTCAGACTTGATTAGTGTGCAATAAAAAGGGGTGGGACACACAGAAAAAAGGACTGTCCCTATTCTATGGGGAAAAGTGACAGATCTGTAATCAGATTCACCCCAGGAGGAAAGGTAGCAAAAATCCCATCCAGTCTCACACACACCAATATTTGAGTGCTCTTGCAGAGCGTCACATTCCGCAACAAATGGCTGGAGTCGCAAAGCAGATTCAGGTGTGAATCTTCTGGCAATTAAATCCATATTCAATAATCGATTATAATCGATTATGTCGATTAGTTGTTGCAGCCCTAGTGCCCTGACTGAAAAAGGTTGAGAAATGCTGATCTAAATCACAGACGGACAAATTGATATGGAATCCTGGAGCCAGCAGGATTTTGTTTTTTAGGAGCCAGATCCATTGACAACCACTAGTGAAACCACCTCAAAAAGGTAGGCCCCAGCTATAATTTGTAAGGATCATGGGCTATCGCCACTGTACTCTAATTGTAAGGTAAATTCCTGAGTGCTCATCACCAAAGATATATCCAGAGAAATCCAAAGTAGATTCTTCATAGGTCTTGCAGCAGAGATAAGTCAAACCATGACCGGTTTATTGTCAACATTTTGGTGGAGCTCCATCAATATAAAGTACTGGCAACAAAATACTGTTGCTTTGACTTATTTCTGCTGCAAGATCCATGAGTGCTGATGGTTATGTGTGTATATCTGTCTGTTTGTGTGTCTGTCTATCTATCTATACACACACGGCCGGACATATCCCAGGAGCCTGGTAGCCAATGCTCTTAAAAAATTACAGCTGGCATCATGAAGGGAAACAACCATGGATTACAGTAAGGCACATATTACAGTATTGTTTTATGTTAAACAATCTGAGGGTTTAATGTCACCTTAAGGTTTTCCCTAGCTGTCGAGAATGAAGTCAGCTCCTAAGAAGATGCTGCTGGCTCCTTGGAATAAAAATTCCAGACGCAAAAAATGTGGCCTGGGGAATAAAGTCTGCATTTATGGAGAAATATTTTCCTTATGCCTCGAATAAAATGCCATTAGTAGATATGCGAGTGGAGGGGGGTCACGGCAACCATATCATACTGCAGATCTTTATTTCAGGGAGCATTGTGCTGATAAGCAATTCGCATTCTTGCTTTGCAGCTCTGGGTCATGGGTTTGAATTCCACCTGTCTGTACTGCTTCCTTGTGATTGTGGGTGTTCTCCAGGTGTTGTGGTTTCTCCTACAACATACTGTATTCTCCCAACATTGCACTGAGTGGATGTATGAACGTGGTAGAGATATTAGATTGTGAGTGCCTTCCAGGAACAAGAACGGATGTGAATCAATCCAAGAATGAATGCTCTAAATAATAATAATAATAATAATAATAATAATAATAAATGAAAAAAACCTGCACATCAATCATCTGATTTGTACCCATCCCCCTGCAAAGCATCTTGGCCATTTGTAGCAGTGTGTTGTGATGAGAAGGATGCCTGCTGTGCTGATGAGATTTCCCTGCCTTCTACAAAGACCCAGAGTCACTGGTGTTTCCCTAACACACCATGATAGGGCTAGAAGAAAATCGCTGTGCTCCGTCACACGCCAGCCAGCTGGAACCTCCAATCACACAACTGATAACTGTACTTTGCAGCTTCAAAATAAGACTACATGGAAAACAAAACACGGAACCACAGCAAGGGTCACCATGCCATTCGTCAGCTAGGTGACAATATAAGAATGACAATATACACCAACAAATGAGGTCCTCTATCAATACACATCTAGATGTAATAACAGTCAGTTACGTCCATTAATAATGAACTGATCTGATGATTTCAGCCATTTTACTGCAAAGAGATGGAACCTTTATATTATATAAAATAGTGTACATAAAGGACACGATGAACCTGTGCCCCAAGCTAGGTGTACCATGGGGGAATGTCAGACCCAATCCGGCATAACAATGGATCACATACATACATGATCCATATAGTACAATGCCTTGGTATGTGTTACCCCTATGCCATGCATCCAGGACAACATGTGTGACCTCCCTGTGCACCTATACGGAGAAATATTATAAAGCAGCTTAGAAAGAGATGAAGGCTTCCTGGAGGAGTAAGGAAGGACTGTACTCTGAACCTAAACTGCCCTTCTCTAACAATGCAGCAGGCTGGGGGAGTGGGTCTGGCAGTACAGACAACATGGCACACATGGTGTGTACAGGGCGATGACCAGATGGGGGTCCACAGGCACACTGACCCCCGGTGACCCGGCAGGAACTGGGGGGATACTCACAGCGGCGGGGATGGGATGTCCTTGCAGGCCGGATACAGCAGTGTACGCGGGGATCGCTCTGCCTATACGTAGCACCGAGCCGCCGCCAGTCCTCCTCGGTGTCCCGGAGCCCTACCGGCGCTGCCGTGTCATGACCCCGACACATCACCTGGCTCTGCACACATCATGGCTCCCGAGCCCCCGGGGCAGTTGGACTTTGGTTCGGCGGAGCCGATCTCCTCACTCCGTGCGATGTGGACGATAAGTGTGTGACAGCCGCCCCCTCCGGAACCCTGGGCCAAAGCTGACGTCTCCCTCGGATTACACTCTCCGGGAAGGATCCTGCTCGATCTGCCTGCTTTTTTTTTCTGTAACGCAGTAGAACCGCCCCCGGCCTAGCAGTCCAGAGAGGCGGGGTACGAGAGTGAGAATGGCGGCGCGGCGCCCCCTTCTGTTTCCTGCAGGGTACTGCGTCATCTGGGGATTCCTCCGGACTCCACTGCAGGGTCTTTCCCTGTAGAGAGTGTGAACGCCAGAAATCTATTTCTCTGTATATTTGACATCTTGTCTCACTGGATACAGTTTTATTCAAGCTTATTGAGGGGAATTTTTAAAAAACTGGAGCAGTTGCCCATAGTAACCAATCAGCTTTTATCTTAAGTTTATTCAGTTCTTAGAAAATAAAAGAGAGAAGCTGATAGGTTGCCATTAGAGGCCCATATTTAATTTTTTATAAACTTTTACATTTTTTTATATTTATTTATTCCTTTTTTATTAAATATTTTGATTTTTTTTTACTTTACTTTTAGGGGCTTTGGGGAAATATTAGGGGTCTAAACAGACCCCTGATATTTCCCTTCTAAAATAGAAAAAGAGATTGAGAACACAGAGTCCTCAATCTCTTTTTCTGTGTCCCCTGTTATCAATGAACAGGAATCCTCTATACTGAGTGTTCCTGCTCATTGATAACATGAGAACATGGTATGTTTACTGTAACCACAATTATGAATGAACAGGAGGGGATATAGATCACTCCCATTCATTCATAATTGAGGATATATTAACCATACCATGTCCTCAATTATCTACAAACACTCAGCGATCACTGAGTGTTTGTAGCCCGCTCTCCTCTCTAACACACACTGTCACAGGAGGCTGAGCGAGCAGTGCAAGAGGAAAGCCCAGCCTCCTGTGACAGTGACATCTCCGCCCCCACATCCCCTGCCGCACTGTGATAGGCGGCCAAGCGGTGTGGGAGGAGAGACACCGGCCGCTCACAGCGCTCTCCTCTCGCAGCGCTCGGCCAGCTGTCACTTTCTCTCCTCCCTCTCTATCGGTGCAAAATTTTACAAAGTAAAAAAATAAATAAAATTAAAAACATTAAAACCAACTCCGCTTCCCCCACCGTCTGCGAATAAACACATGCATAGGGCATTGTGTGTGTGAGCAGAGTGGTGCCCCCATTCTACTGTGTGCGATATTGTGGTGGCCGGGCAGCAACGCGCACAATGTGCATTAACACTCTAACACGCACAATGTGCATTAAGGCTGGGTTCACACCTGGGCGATCCTCGACTGCGCTCCAACCGTGCACGAAACGTGTGGATGGCCGGGCGGTCACAGAATCGCACACTACTACCGATCATGCTAGCACTTCCATTATTTTCTAATGGCACCAGGCAGATTGAGCAGTTTCCCGGCACAATACCGCTCATGCAATCGCACACGATTGCAGTTGAAAACACTGTGCGGTGCATGTCGCAAAAAAAGGTACATATACCTTTTTTCAGCGATTGTTTCGTGGGTGTAATCCTATTGAAATCCATGGGGCTGCGCAGCAATCTCTGTATGCAACCGCACACGATCGCTCAAGTCTGCACCAGCCCTACGTCCCTGTTCACACCTGAGCATTTTGACGCTGAAAGCTTAAAGTGACATTAAACCCTCAGATTTTTTAACATAAACCAATACTGTAATGTGCGCCTTACTGTAATCCACGGTTGTTTCCCTTCTCTTTGCTCCACTGTAATGTAAATCCTCATGTCTTCTCATGCTGGGGGAGAACTTCCCTTTGCAGCTGAGTGCCTCTTCCTGTAGTGCTGGCTCAGGTTTCCAGCCTATACAAAAATGTACACAGACACCGTGTATCCATTTCAGAGACAAGGCAGTCTGCTGCAAAACAGAAGTTCTGCCCAGCATGAGAACAGATACAAATTTAAAAGGAAGAGCAGCACAGAGAAGGGAAACAACCGTGGATTACAGTAAGGCGCACATTACAGTATTGGTTTATGTTAAAAAATCTGAGGGTTTAATGTCACTTTAAGTGTTAAAACACACAAGACAATAATTCCTATTCATTCCTATGGCCCCTGTTCACACCTGAGAGGTTAGCAGCAAGCTGTAAAAACGCTGAACGCTTGAAAATGTGCATGAGCTTCTTTCCGGCAGATTCAGAGCGTCTGTGCTCCATAGATTTCAATGGCAAACGCGCCAAAAACGCGCATGTGGGGTTTTTGCGTGTTTTGCGCACGTTCTTTTTGCAAAAAACGTGAGGTTTTTAAGGCGAATGTACATTGTGGAAGACCACCTGCAAAGCGCACTGGGAAGCAAAATGGCTGATTCATGTCTGCAAAACTTTGACTCTGAGGCATTTATAAGGCTGATACAGGCACAACCATGCCTATAATCTGCGCAACCCCCTTTATAAAAACAGAGGAAGGAGGAGGCAGGCTTGGATCCAAATTGCTTGCCAGATTTGGCCTGAATGGGAATCTTTCCCTCCATCCCCGAAGGACAGCAAAGGGAAAACGTGCATGTGACATGTGGTGCATCTAAAGTTTGTTGTGATACTGTTGTAGCTTATGTTTCTGCTTGCTTGTGTGGCTATTGTAGGTCTGTGCAGCTGCAGATCCGCCACAGATTGTGATGTCAAAAAATGTCTGGCCTATTTCTTGTCCCAGTCCGGTCTTTAGTCTGGTCATCAGGCAAACATAGTGACCTAGTGCTTTTACAAGTGTGTAGCATGGCACCCCCTAGTGGCAGGATGATAAGCCAGTTCCTGCACCAGGGACTACTAAACATATTCAGTAGGGATGTCCCGATACCGGTTCTTGTATCGGGACCGATACAGGGCATTTTGACAAGTACTTGTACTTGTCAAAATGCCCCGATACATAGCGCTGAAGCTTGCGCTATGGGTTTTTTTTCGTTTTTTTTTCTAACC